AGTATTAAAAATGAAAATGGTGAATCCACCACCAAAGAAGAGGAAATTAAAACTATAATTAGGAACCACTTTGCCCAACTATATGCCAATAAATTTGACAATGTTAGTGAAGTGGGTGAATATTTACAAAAATATACATTGTCCACATTAACAGAAGAGGAAGTAAAATACTTAAACAACCCCATTTCAGAAAAATAAATTGAAGAAGCCATCAATGAACTCTCTAGGAAAAAATTCTCCAGGGCCAGATGGATTTACAAGTGAATTCCATCAAAAATTTAAAGGACAACTAAGTCCAATACTATATCGACTATTTGGGAAAATAGGTGAAGAAGTAGTCTTACAAAATTCTTTTTATTATGCAAATATGGTGCTGATACCTAAACAAGGAAGAGTCAAAACAGAGAAGGAAAATTATAGACCAATTAACCTAATGAATATAGATGCAAAAATTTTAAATAAAATATTAACAAATAGATTATGGTAACTTTTCACAAGAATAATACAGTATGACCAGGTAGCATTTATACCAGGAATGTAGATCTGGTTCAATATTAGGAAAACTATCTGCATAATTGATCATATCAACAACAAAAGTAACAGAAACCACATGATCATCTCAATAGAAGCAGAAAAAACTTTAGACAAAATACAGTACTCATTCCTATTGAAACACTAGAGAGCATAGTAATAAATGGAGTCTTCCTTAAAATAATAAGTAGCATCTACCTAAAACCTTCAGCAAGCATCATATGTAATTAGGACAAGCTAGAAGAATTTCCAATAAGATCAGAGGTGAAACAAGGATGTCCGTTATCACCACTGTTGTTAAATATCATACTGGAAATGTTAGCTTTAGCAATAAGAGAGGAAAAAGAAATTGAAGATATTAGAATAGTCAAAGAAGAAACAAAGCTGTCACTCTTTGCAGATGATATGATGATATACTTAGAGAATCCTAGAGAAACAAGTAAAATAAAACTACTTAAAAATAATAAACAACTTTAGCAAAGTTGCAGGTTATAAAATAAACCCACAAAAATCATCAGCATTTCTATACATTATCAACAAAGCCCAACATCAAGAGATAGAAAGAGAAATTCCATTTAAGCTTACTGTAGATATTATAAAATATTTAAGAGTCTACCTACCGAAACAAACCTAGGAATTATATGAATTAAATACAATTAAAAAACACTTTTCACACAAATAAAGTTAGTTCTGAATAATTTGAAAAACATCAGTTGCTCATGAGTAAACCAAGCTAATATAATATAAATGAAATTGTACCTAAGCTAATTTTATTATACAGTGCTATACCAGTCAAACTACCAAAAATTAATTTATTGAGTTAGAAAAAATAATTACAATATTCATTTGGAAGAACAAAAGTTCCAGAATATCAAGAGAACTAATGAAAAGAAATGCAGGGGAAAGCAGCCTAGCTATTTCACATCTTAAAGCAGCAATCATCAAAACTACTTGGTACTGGCTAAAAAATGGTGTGGTGGGTCAGTGGAATAGGTTGCTATGCAAGGCACAGTAGTCAATGACTATAGCAATCTACTGTTTGATAAACTCAAATACCCCAGTTTCTGGGATGAGAACTCACTATTTGACAAAAACTGCTGGGAAAAATGGAAAAAGGGTATGTCAGAAACTAGGCGTAGATCAAAATCTCACACCATATACCAAATATAACCAAAATTGGTTCATGATTTAGATATAAAGGCTGATACTGTAAGCAAACTGGGAGAGCAAGGAATAGCTTACCTATCAGATTTATGGAGAACAGAAGAATTCATGACCAAACAGGAGATAGAGAACATTATGAAATGTAAAATGGGCAATTTTGATTACATTCAATTGAAAAGTTTTTGTACAAAGAAAGCCAATGCAAACAAGATTAGAAGGGAAACAAAAAGGTGAGAAACAAGTTTCACAGCCAGTGTCTCTGAGAAAGGCCTCAGTTCTCAAATATATAGAGAACTGAGTCATATTTATAAGAATACACATTGTTCCCCAATTGATCAATGGCCAAATGATATGAGTATGTATCTTTCACATGAAGAAATTAAAATTATCTATAGTCATATGAAAAAAAATTCTCTAAATCACTATTGATTACAGAATTGCAAATTAAAACAATTCTAAGGTACCACATTACACCTATTAGATTGTCCACCATGACAATACAAGAAAATGATAAATGTTGGGGCAGTGGGAAAATTGGAACACTAATTCAATTGTTGGTGGAGTTGTGAAATGATCCAATCATTTTGGAGAGCAATTTAGAACTATGCCCAACAGACTATAAAAATGTGTATACCCTTTGACCCAGTGATATCACTTCTGTGTCTGTAACCCAAAGAGATAATAAAAATGGGAAAAGAACTACATGTTAAAAAATATTTATAACAGCTCTTTTTGTGATGGCCAAGAATTTCAAAATGAGGGGATGCCTATCAATTGGGGAATGGTTGAACAAGTTATGGTATATGAATGTAATGGAATACTATTATTTCATAAGAAATGATGAGCAGGCAGACTTCAGAAAAACCTGGAAAGTCTTACATAATCTGATGCTGAGTGAAGTGAGCAGAACCAGGAGAACAATGTATACTGTAACAGCATCATTGCGCGAAGACCAAATTTGATAGACTTAATTCCTCTAAAAAATGCAGTGATCTAAAATAACTTAAAAGATTCATGATGGAAAATGCTATTCACTTCCAAAGAAAGAACTAGTGTCTGAATGCAGATTGAAGTATGCTATTTTCTCTTTTTAAAATTTTTTTCTTATCTTATTTTTTTCCCCTTTGATTCTAATTCTTTACAACATGGATAATTTGATAATATGTTTAATATGATTGTGCATGTGTAGCCTATATCAGACTGCATGCCTACTTGGGGAGGGGTAGAAAATTTAGAACTCAAAATCTTAATAGAAATGAATGTTGAAAACTAAAAACAATTAAATAAATAAAAGAAAAGGAGATCAGAGTAAGAATTAGGAGGCCCATATTTGAATCCTGTTTATGACACATAACTTGCATAGTCTACGTCCAATTCCTTTAAACTATTTGAGTTAGCTTCTTTATTGTTAAAATAGGGACAATAATAATTACATTACCCAATTACTTTGTAAACTTCTAAAAATAGTTCCATTAATTTTGATTTTTTTGAGAGCTACCACCTGACTGATCTTTCAGTGTTTGCTATGAACTCAGATGAATTACTCTTCTGTCTCTTACTTTTTAAAGAGGAAAAGTGACAAAATTTTAAAAAAAGACAACTCCAAAAAAGAGATATGAGAAGACACCTTTGCCCTAACTTTATTCTTTAGCAGAAGTGGGGGTACAGTATATAAAATAAAAACTACAGAGGATACTATGTAAAATGTCAGAGTGTGTTTTTAATGTATTCATCATTTATTTCTTCATTTTTTCCCCTTCTTTGTAAGTAAAAAGTCCTTGTTATAAGATGTAGTTTCTTTGTTATAAAAGCTTGGATGAAAGGGGTATAAGGAAAATGTCAACAATGCAAAAACAAAAGATAATAATAAAATCTATTTAAAAATAGAGAAAAATATTTAAACCCCTTCTCATGACAAGTACGTAGCTGTTTGGTGTTGTGAAAATGAAATTAAGAAGCTGTCACCATGGTCAAGTTATATAATTCTTGAGAGTCTATTTCTCATTCGCAAAACCGGGGCAAAATATAGCACCTACCTCCTAGGATTATTTTGAGGATTGAGTAAAATCATGTGTATAAAAGTCAACTATATTAACACTTGATTTCTTCCTTCTGAGAAGAAGGAATTTCATCTTTCCCTAACCTGCCTCAATACTCCCTGATCCCTTTACACATGTTATGCATGTTTGGCTCCTGCACTTTTTCTGTCCACATGTGTAATTTATGTAGCCTACTTGAAAACAGCTGGTGATTCTGTGATCTGCAGGAATCAATCTTTCCTCATATCTTGTTTAGCATTATCTAAAATTGCTCAGAGATGAACATTTCCATACATATTAAAGCCTCAGCAGGAAGAGGAAGTGTCCAGCCACAGAAAATAGGCATCCTCTTCTTGGTGGGCAGGTTCTACTTCAAACAGTGATACAAAGAAAATACACATCTAATACAAAACCTAGCAGGGGCCTGAAGAAAACCAAGACCAAAAATATGAGAAAAATCCATGTGGAAAACTCAGACTGAATTATCTTGGATTCCTGAACTTTGTAGTCAGAGCGAACATACATTTTTGTGTCCCTTCCCAAACCAAACCAGTCTTATTTTTGTTATTAACTCTGTTTCTGTGCACAATCAGATTTCCTATCTCTAGCCCAATATTCTTTGTTACTGACAGTGCCTTACTGTCAAATTCTTTTGGCACCTCCCTGTACTGGAATCTCACAGCTGTGATCTTTCCACATTTCCAAACTCAGCTTTTCATTATCTTTTTTTATTCCTTTATCTTGAATTCTATTCAAATCTCAAATATTTAATTTTTATTGCTGCTTATTTTTAAGCTCCATGGATCTCAGTTTCCTTAAGTATAAGGTAAAGGGGTTGTACAAGGCTTTTATAGTGTTTTGTAGGCCTATCCCCTTATCCTAATTCTAAGATTCTATGACCTTCATCTAGTAGAGAATATTATTCCTTCAGTAGAAACAAGTTATGATGACAAAATGGTATCATTTCATACTTCATTCCATTGAGCCCTCAAGGTCATAATAAGTACTGAATCAGAATCCTCCTTTGATCTACCTTTGTCATGACTTATTTTATAATATATTACTAAAATCCTATAATAAAACTAGCTATTCAGGTTATTTTGCAGTAGTTAATACAATCACAAATCATTAGGAAAAACAAGTTCCTGTAATGATGTCAATAAAACATTGAATAAAAAGTTAGCAGTACTTACTGAATATTTGTAACTTGTATTTGTGATTAAAAAGTGCAATCCAATTAATGATATTTACTTCAACACTTTTTACCTGTGTGTGAGCCTCCGCTGACTAATACAAATTGCCATCTGAGGACCCCGGGCAATGCAAATTTTATGGTGGCTACACTTCATCTTTAAGCATGGATCATTAGCCGGGTCTAGAGCTAAAAAAAATGTAGAAAACACATTAATACTAGTAATATATTTATTTTAAATGATTAGCTCATTTCTAATGCAATTAAATCCCTTAAATATTTAAATCAGGTCCCACTGATAGTGCACAGCACTATGCTAGGAGCTGAGGTAGATACAAAGTCAATCTCAGACCTCATGAAAAATATACTCTAGGATAAAGATATCATATATAAATAGATAATTAAAATACAATTATCAAACTTAACAACAATTTCATTTTAAAATTCACCTACTTTTTGTCCACAGGTGTTCATTGTCAACCACCTTCCTTTCCTGAAAGAGAATTAATGCCACTGCCAACAGAACTGAGAGCTACTGCTTGACTGAAGTTTTGCATCAGCCACTCATTTTACAAATCAAAGCAAATTCCAAATCACCACAATCATAGGATAGAATGAAACTGAGTACTATTCATTGTGTTTAAAGTACAGACAACCAAAGTTTTTTTGTTTAAAAATTAAACAATGATTTGTCCCAAAAGGAATAGGTATTAACTTTCCATATTTTACTGCTATAAAGAGAATTGTACTGAAATTCTCTATACTCCTCATCTTTTGTAAAACTATCCACATGAAAGAAAAGGAAAGACTAATGGCTAATGGGCATACTATACTGACCACATAGATTACCATCAAAAGAACAATATTTGCAATTTTTTCCATATGAAAGATTGGATTTTTTTCAGATCAATAGGAAGGTCAACTAGGCTTGCATATTTCTGCAGTTTTCAAAAATCAAGTTCAGATTTCATTTCACTTACACTCCTGTTATACTTCAAGATGTTGCTGATTGCTTGAGTCACCTTCATTATGTGACTAGTTTAAGAAGTTACTGTCCCTTTGCTAGGGAAACTGGATACAAAGTAAAGATAGATACTTAGATATAGATCAAATAAGATATATAATTTATCTATGTATATGTGACATGTAAGATATCTATATATACACATATATGTATTATGTGTGGATGCATATATACATATATGTGTACATATAAGTGTATGCATATGTGTATATCATTTCCCTAGCAGATCAAATATCTCATAATTCACAGCACACAAATATCTGGGAAAAACAGAAAACTATTTGATAACAAAGAGATTTACAAAAATATTTTGTACCATATACTGTGATCAGCACAAAATAAATATATGACATGAATAGTAGAGGTCACCAATAACCAGATCAAACAAGTTTTGATACTAAGCTTAAAAGGTGAATTTTCAATCAAATAAGAGGTAAAGATAGTCACAAAATATAAAACGGAAAATTGTGATTGAATGAAATTCAATGCAGCAAGGATAAAAAGAGGTCATGAGGGAAGGAATTTTTGCATAAACTTTATAAAAGTCTATGATACGGGTTTAATTTCTTTTTTTTTTAACTGAACTATTAGTTCTATTGGTATAGTGAAGTTCTGGTAAGGAAGTTAGTACTCCAACTTAACTTGTACCTCCTCAACAAATATCATAGAGAATTGCCTACCTCATTTAAAGGTTAAGTGATTTGCACTGGCCTGCGTAGCCAGTATGTTAGAACCAGAGTTTGAACTCAGGTCTTCCTGACACTAAAACTAGCTTTTTTTCCACTCTGCCATGATTTTCCTTTGGGTCTGATATTCAGGATATCAAAACATTAACATAAAATAAATATGATTAAGAGTCACTGCTCTGAAGATAAATGTTCAAAGGATACAAAGTCATAATCCTCAAAAAAATTCCAAACTATTAACAACATATTGTTAATGATTGTTCTAAATTGCTAACATAAAAATGTAAATCGAGACATCTCTGAAGTTTCACTTCATAATCAGCAACTTGGCAGAGATGACAAAAGATGGGTATAGTCAAACTCGGACAGGCTGAAGAATGATTGGCATGTTTACACACTGATGGTAATATTATGAATTGTTCTAACAATTCTAGGAAGCAACAAGAGATTGTGGTTTTATTTTTATGAATGGGGTGACTAAGATGTTTATAACTTTTGACATTGATGTGGTAAAATTGGAACACTAATACCTTATTGGTGGAGTTGTCAACTGACCCAACCCTTCTGGAGAACAATTTGGAACTATGCACAAAGAGCTATAAAAATGTGCATACCCAGTAGGCCCAGTCCTACTTCTAGGACTCTATGCCAAAAAGATCATAAAAATGGGAAAAGGACCCACAGGTACAAAAATATTGATAACAGCTGTTTTATTAGTGGCCAAGAATTGGAAATTGAGGGAATGCCCATAAATTGGTGAATGGGTGAACAAGTTGTGTTATATGGATGTGATGGAATGCTATTTAACTATAAGAAATAATGAGCAAGAAGACTTCATAAAAACCTGGAAATAATTATATGAACTGATACTGGGTGAAGGGAGCAGAACTAGGAGAACAGTGTAAACAGTAACAGTAACATTGTGTGATGACTGATTGATAGACTCAGCTTTTCTCAGCAATATAAGGATCTAAGACAACTCCAAAAGTTGGAAAATGCTATCCACATCCAGAGAAAGAATTATAAAGTCTGAATGCAGATTGAAGCCTACTATTTGCCTTCTCTCTTTTTTTTGTTTTTGTTGTTTTATTTTGTTTTGTTTGGTTTGTTTCTTCTTTCTTCTTGTTCCTCCCATTTGTTCTAATTCTTCTTTACAAAATGCATGATGAGAAAATATGTTTAATAAGAATGTATATGTAGACCCTATATCAGATTGCATGCCATCTTCAGGAAGGAGAGGGGAGGAAGGCAGAGAAAATTTTAAAACTCAAAAGCTTATGTAAGTGAATGTTGAAAACTAAAAATAAATAAATTTGTAAAAAATAATTTTAAAAATCTAAATATTTTGTCAGTAATTGCAATATGCATATAGACCTTGTCAGCAACACTTTTGGACACACCAGAGATAATGGTCATGCAAGGTTTAAATAATATAATAATGTAATACTTGTGACAGAGAGAACACGGGCATTTTCAACATTGCTATCCCATAGGCCTGTAAATTATAGGTATGTTAAGACTCAACTTATATTCTCCTTAAATACAGTTTTTTTAGAAACATTATAGAATTGAAAAAATACTGTTGCAATGTGAAGGACCTAATATCACTGCAATTATTTTGCAACATAATCAAAAAGAATCTATTGTTTTCATAATTTAAGTGTACAACTTGTCTCAGAGACAACTAAGAGTTATGATTACACATTCCTTTTTTTGGTCTTTTTCATTGTACCTGAGTGTTCTTTTTTTAATTGTGAGATAGATACATATATACACAGATACACACACACACATATATACACACACACATACATACATACATACACATATCTTCTTTCTAAAAAGAGTTATAAGGGAAGTTGGAAATCATCTAAACTAGAGGTGTAAAATTTGTAGCCTCCAAATTGAACCAGATTAAAGTGTATTTAGGAAATGTTTAAATAATAAATAAAAATAAAGTATAAATAATGTTAATTTGTGCTTTTCTAAACCAATGTCCCATCAGGGATCACTTCTTATTTGAGTTTGACACCATTGAGATTCTAGTGTTTGGATCTCTACATTTCTTTAGATGTATCTTTTTTTTTATAAATACATATTCAAGAGTTTTGTAGCAATGCTTCTCTCAAAAAAATAAGAAACTATTTGTTATGCCCTTATATGCCAGGCACTGGATTAGATACTAAGGATACAGGTACAGAAACTGGAAAAATCACTATTTACAAGAAGCTAAATTCTACTTGTGGGACACAATTACAATAATTAGTTGTGAGAATGGAGAAAAGAGATGTGTTGGAGATTGACATGGAAAGATTTGACAAATAATTATATTCAATGGCTGAGGGAGAATGAGGAGTATAGAAATCTGCCTAACTTACAAACCTGGGAAAATAGAAGGATATTTGTACATATAAGAGAAATAGGGGAATTTAGAAAAGAGTACATTTAAAAGGAAATATATTGAATTTAATTTAGGACATGATGATCTGAAATGAATCCAGGATATCAAGTTTGAAGTATACAACAGCAACTGATGATGGGTGACTAAAGTTTAGAGAAGCATGGATAAATACATGCAATCATCTTCATAGAAACCATAGTTAAAGCCATGGGAGATGATGAAGTTATCAATAGAAAGTGGAAAAGATGAGAAGAGGGCCTAGGGGAAAAAAAAAACATGAGGAATGTGTGTGTGTTTGTGTGCGTGAGCACCTACTATGTATGATATCACAGATATCTTAAAAGATGTAGCTAGCATGATAAAGGTTTTAAGCCTGTGAAGGATAGTGTGTCTTTATACTACCAAAGTTGACAGAAATGCAAAAACAAATCCACCAGAGACTCTAAATAACCATGTCTGCACAATAGTGGCAGCCTTAGGAATTTTTCTATAATTACAAAAAATACTGTTTTCCAAATTTGTCGAGATGCCTTTCCTGATAGCCAAGTGCAACTAGAAAACAAACAGTCATCCTTGTTGGCAGTCATTCTGGCCTGAAGAAAAGAATAAGATAGCAATATTTTGATTATTTTGAGTTTTTGAGTTTCTTGCTAACTTTCCAGTAGTCCAAGCAAGCATAAAAACAAAAGCAAAAGCAGCAAACAAAATATCACTTATGAAGGTTTATTTTCTCTAACCAATGTAGTATCCTTGCCATGACCACTAAATTACTAATGTAAAATTAATGCCCCATTGAACGTAGTAGCAATAAGGTTAGACATATTCTGAGAAAATTTTGATTCGCATGACAAAAAAAAATTCTGGACAATGCATACACAGAATATTTTGGTGACCAGCATATCTTTCAGGAACATGAACCTTTGCCCAAGGTTTGAATTAGCCATTGTCTTCCTTATCTCATGTTCCTCATCTGAAGCATTCTTATATATGATTTTTACGATTTTGATAAAATAGTTTAGAAAATCATTATGATTAAATTAAATAACAATTAACATTAATATAATGTGTTAAGATTTGC